CTTGTCCTAGACATATACTAGTTATTGCAGATAAGGGAAACCATGGGACCTTTGTTTCTTTGATTCATAAGTTAAGAGTTGTGAACTATTGGGATTTTAAGATTACAACAAGCTTTCAAGAAGTTTTTTTTTAATCAAATTTTCAGTGCTTGGCTCTATAGTTTTTAATAAAATAAATTTCCTTATCTCTCTTTTTTCCTTCCTTCAACTTTTGAAATTTAGGACGTTTGCTTTTATTATACTTCAAAAACAATGACTAAACAATATAAGACAAGAAAAGAATAACTGAATCTCTATGGTCTCCAAGTCCAGTGAAGTCTCTCCATTGCTACCTAGGGAACATTGGCTGAAAAAGGGAAAGAGGAAACAAATGCAACTTGGAATTATCAAATAAACAAACTTGTCCAGTAAAACAAGCTAGTTAGGAAGATAAAGGGGAAGAAAGGGGAAAGTAGAAGAGATGGAAGAGAAAAATATACACATTGATGTAAAGAGTTGGGAATCCTAGAACCCAATAGAGAAATTCACTCTGTAGATACATTGTCACTTGTTAACTGCAGAAAAACCAATGAACTGGAAGATACATCAATGTATGTTGTATAGTAAAAAAGAATGATAGATTTATAAGTCAATGTGATGATTACTCTCATAAGATTATGTTTAAAACTATAAACAAAAAGAAAAATGAGTTATAAAAATTCTTAAATATAAAACAATAATTTATGCATTAAAGAGTTCTACCGAAACACAGTCATGTAAAACACAGATAAAAACCTGTGTACAGTGAAAAATAATCTTTCAGAAAGTTATGTCTTTTTATACAAGAAAATTTTCAGAACTGCCATGGATAATACTCATATTATTAAAAATAGAGATTAGACTACAATACAATAACGTATGTGACTAATGAATGAATAACAGAAGCCAGCAAGAATTCTGCATTCATGACTTTATACTTCAAAATTGAAGTTTTTATAAATGCAAATGAAGATAAGCTAGCATGTGCTGACATACTCTGGAGGACCTGAAAATCTTTCAGAACCACAAGAAATAACAGGAAGGGTCCTGAACCTATGGGAAAAAATGGCCTCAGAAAGAGTCCAGAAAAAAGAAAGATGCTAAAACAGAAGAACACATTTTTTTCTTCAAATTATGTGATGATCAAGTCTAGGAAAAACCATACTATGTGGCTTATGTCAAGACTGTCACTGGAGAATATTATAGAAGTGTTATGGATTGTGAAGGCAAAAACATGCATCTGAGAGAATTGATACAGTATTCCATAGTTTTTCTGAATTACAGATTTGTATAAAACTATTGCTCATATCATATCTCTACTTCTACATTATATGTGGTTTGTATTGAGCAAACTAAAATGACCAAACCTAACTCATTTTCACTGTATTTGATGTCAGTATAATTTGGGAAGGGGAAGGGAAAAAACAAATTATTCAAATAGGGATACAGATTGACCCATTGCAACAATGAGATGTACAAGACACTATGTCGAAAAATGAACTTTACAATTTAGGCGGGGTGGGGAAGGGTGTGGAGGGAAGGGAGATTGGAGGGTGTAGCTGAGAGGGCAAGTAGGGATGTTAGGGGAAAAACAAAGGAGGAGGCTACAAAGCTTGATAAGAAATGTACTCATTATCTTGCTCATGTAACTGTAACCCCTCTGTATAGTATTTTGACAATTAAAAATAATTTAAAAATAAAATAAAATGACCAAACTTAAACTTTTAAATAAATATCTAGAAAATAAATAAGAATGACTCACTACTTAATGAAAAAGCATCTTTATTAAAGAAAACTTTCGGGGCTGGGAAGGTGGCTCAGTAGTAGAGCGCTTGCCTTGCATGCCTGAGGCCCTGGGTTCGATGCCTCAGGACCACATAAGGAAAAAGAAAAAAGCCAGAACTGGCGCTGTGGCTCAAGTGGTAGAGTACTAGCCTTGAGCTGAAGAGCTGAGGGATAGTGCCCAGGCCCAGAGTTCAGGCCCCACGACCGGACCAAAAAGAAAAAGAAAAAAAAAAGAAAACTGTAAAACATGTCTGGAAAGGGTTGAAGAATTAGGGCGCAGGCAAAGAGAAGGAGGAATCATGAAGGCATGCCCCTCTGTAGGGAACACATATACAATCTCTCTTGCCTTTTGTTTTATAATACATTTTTTATTGTGAAGATACTGTACATAGGGGTTACAATTACATGGGCAAGATAATGAGTACATTTCTTATCAAGCATTGTAGCCTCCTCTTTGTTTCCCCTTCCCATCCCTTCCCATCCTCCCCCTGGCCTCCCACCTAATCCTCCTCCCCACCTTGCTTTCTTTTTATAATATATATTTTTATTGTGAAGATACTGTACATAGTGGTTACAATTACATGAGCAAAATAATGAGTCCATTTCCTCTTTTTTTTCCCTTACCATCCCTTTTCTCTCCAACTCCTTCCTCTCTACTCCCTCCCCCCAGCAAAATTGTAAAGTTCATTTTCAACATGGTGTCATGTACATCTTATTTGTTACAATGGTCATCCTGTATCTTTATTTCAGCATTTTGTCATTTCCCTTCCCCTCCTCAAATTAGAAAAAGATATATACAAGATGCAGGACACCAGAATCAAATACAGTGAAAACAGGGGTTGTACAATGGAGGAACATACAAAGAAAAAAATCACAAAGTACATTATTAGTACATTAAAAAGAACAAGAAAGATAAAATCTCTTGTGCCCCTATCTTGGAGCTCATTGGCTTAGTATCAGGTTATATGGTCATATGTACATAGCTTTTGACCTCTTCTGCTTGTCCTAGACATATACTTGTTATTGCAGATAAGGGAAAATATGGGACCTTTATTTCTTTGAGTCTGTCTTACTTCATTTATTTAATTTTTTCCAAGTTTCTTGATCATAGTTAATGACTCTTACTAACAGGAGAGGCCCCACCCTCCTGGTGTCACTTTGTTTTTCTCCTGACAGTTTGTCTCTGACAACTGCACTCACCAGGATATTTGCATATTGCTCCCTGGGGAGGAGCTTCTCTGCAAATCCACCATAAAAGCTCAGCTCTAAGCTTGCCTGGGCTGACAAGGACTGCTTACTCTCAGAATGAGTTGCCCTGCTCAACTCCTGGGGCTGCTCATGCTCTGGATCCCAGGTAAGAACACACTAGAGCTGAGGAAGGAGATGGGGAGGGCCTGAGCTCTGGTGCCCAATTCTTCCCATGTGTGATGTATACAACACACATGAGAGGTGCATATTTTCCCTCCTGGATGGGTAGATGATGTAAGTGTGAGGAAGATTCCAGAAGGACCAAAGAACCTTGTTCTGCTTAGGACTAGATAAGCAGAAAGTGCTGGTAAATTCTAGAGATCCTCATGGTTTACAACTATCAGTGTGTGTGTGTTGTGTGTGTGTGCCATGTTTAATGAAGATTTTGGATCAGAAAACATTATTAAAAATTTTATAGTCCAGTATAAGTTCAGAAAGAAACTGTAATTAACCTGTCCACTTCTCTCTTTAGGATCTGCTGGGGTTGCTATGTTGACCCAAACTCCACTCTCCCTGCCTGTCACCCTTGGAGATCAGGCCTCCATCTCCTGCAGGTCTAGTGAGAGCCTCCTGTACAGTAATGGAAAAACGTATTTGTATTGGTTCGTGCAGAAGCCAGGCCAGTCTCCACAGCGACTGATCTATTGGGTTTCCAACCGAGAAACTGGAGTCCCAGACAGATTCAGTGGCAGTGGGTCAGTCACAGATTTCACACTGACAATCAGCAGGGTGGAATCTGAGGATATTGGTGTTTATTACTGCTTTCAAGATACACATGATCCTCCCACAGTGATACAGCCCTGAACAAAAACCGGCCTGCTTGTGGTGGCACAGCTGTCACTTATAGCTTGTTTGTGAAGCAGCATAACAGCTTTTCCGAGTGAATGTGAGAGCAAGGAACTGGTGGTGTCAGCTCAATGTGTTACAGTTGAGCTCAGAGTACCATGAGTGGCTCTGCTACCCTTCAAGGATAATGGGCAAAAGCTATGGCATTGCACAGACAGCAGGAGAATAAATGTGGCTCATTCAGCTGCTGCTGATATCATAGTTCATGGAGTAATTGATTAAATTCTCATTCTCATCCTATCAGCTTTTATATGATGTATTAATTGTATTTATTTGTTGGTGGTCGTGGGACCTGAACTCTGGGCATGGGCGCTGTACCTGAGCTCTTCAGCTCAAGGCTAGTATTCTACCACTTGAACCATAACACCACTTCAGGCTTTTTCTGCTTATGTTATGCTGAGGAGTCCAAGCCAGGGCCTCATGCATGCAAGGCAAGCACTCTACCACTGAGCCACCTTCCCAGCCCATATTAGTTGAGTTTGAACACCACAATTTGGTATTATCAAGAAGGCAGGTGTTTTCCAAATAAGTTTCTCCTTAGGCTGAGGTAGTAGGATTTATCAGCTCAGTTTTAGCCTCAATTATATTATGAATTTGAGGCTCTTCTTATGTAATAATGAAAGCTAGTTTGAAAGCAAAACAAAACAAACATGACAAATGAGTAAGTCCTCCATTTATATTGTTTATGTCTGGTATTTTGTCATGGCAACTGAGATAAATAACTAACATGGCCCTATGTATGTAAGCCATGTGGGAGACATTAGTACAGTCACATTTTCGTGCAGGAAAGAACTTCGCTGCAGACCAATTATAGAGGAAGTCATCATCACATGTCATATGATCATAAGAACCAAAGAGAGAGAGAGAGAGAGAGAGAGAGAGAGAATCCATTTGTTGTACAGGTAAGAAAAAATTGTATGGAGCAATAGCTGGAACAGCTGTTCACATGTAATGTGTCAAAAACCAGTGGGTGTGAAAATACAAGAAAGTTGGCAGTTGGCAGAAATAGTTTTAAAGTCATATGAAATTCCCTCATCCAGTGAAATCCTGTGTCTTATGTAAAATTTGATGAAAACGAATTTTTGCTCAAAAAGTACACAACTTGAGGAAAATATTCTAAAAGCAATAAATAATTTTATTTTGTGGTTAAAAACTAAGTGTTTTTCCTATTTCTAGCCTCTTACTTCCTCTATTTAACACTTCGCATCCCTCTCCATAGAGTAGCCTTCCATACTGCTTTTCCTTATGGGACATCGAAGGGGTTCATGATCAAAGAGATCTGAGATCATGATCGTCATTTCCTTCTCAACACAACATCATCATTGAGAGTTTTGAAGCTTTACCCTACAGGTGATTCAGTAGAGTCTATGTGGTTGGTGTCATCAAGACATAACACACAAGGATGTGATGACCAGAAGGCCCAACAGCCCCTGAATCACGGAAGACAGCAGAAATAGAGCCAAAGCTCATGTTATAGATAAGTATTAAAGATGATCTGGGCAGCTCTGAGGAAAAATATCCCATTTAGTGGGTGATTTCTACCTTGGTCCCCTCATGTGCATCCTTTCTGCTGAATCAGATCCATCTCAGTAATTATCTCATGAGAAAATGCCCTGATGGGAAAACATGGCTTGTGAACCTCCAAACCTCAGCCTGCTTCTCTTTTCTCACTTAACTTTCTCTGCCTTTTCCCAGGTTAAAAATTTTGTCTATGTCCAAATGTGGAAACTATGACAAGAAAACAAAATGGCAAATGCTCATTAGTTCAACTGCTGTGAGTTACTTATGTATTCTGGAATTTTAGACCACCTAATCCATATTTCTTCCATAGCTTTATTCTTCCATACTTTTGAGGTGTTCTGTTTCAGAGAAATGTTTTAAGCCCAACGATACTTTTACCACGAAATGGAGATTATTTTCATTTTTGATGCAGATGATTTTAAGAGGAGGTAATTTCAGCAATGTGTGATTTAAAAAAATATTGAAAATTCTGTTATATCAGAAAAAATTCACGCTATAGAGTTATTTGCCAAAAATTGATCTTAGTTCTATATTCTAGTAATAATAATTTTTAGAAAATAAATTTCATAGTTTCTGATTAAAATGATAGTAAAAAATTGGTTCCATATCTTAGCTATGGTAAATAATGCTGTGATAAACTTAGATGTGTTGGTAGCTTTAGTATACCCTTGTTTGTGATCATTTGAGTAAATGCCCAAAAGTGGGATTGCTGGGTTATAGGGGAGCTCTATGTGGAGTATTTTGAGGAACCTCCATACTGCTTTCCAAAATGGTTGAACAAGTTTACACTCCTACAAACAATGCAGTAGGGTTCCTTTTCCGCCACATCCCAGCATAGCTATTATATAGAACCAACCCAGATGCCTCTCAGTAGATGAATGGGTCAAGAAAATGAGGCATATATATATATATATATATGTATATGTGTATACACATACATACATATATATCTATGTACATATATATATATGTATGTATAAAATGGAATTCTATGCCTCCATCAGAAAGAATGATATGGCCCCTTGTTAGGAAGTTTAAAGACTTGGAAAAGAGTATATTAAATCAAATAAGCCAGGCCAAAGAAACATAGGTCCCATGATTTCCCTTATTTGAAATAACTACTATATGTCTAGAACAAGCAGAAAAGGTCAAAAGCTATGAACATACAACCATATAAGATGATGTTAAACAAAATGAACCCCAAGATAGGGACACAAGTGGTTTTTTTCTTTCTTGCTCTTGTTTTTAACATATTTATAATGTACTATGTGGTTTTGTTTCATTTTTCGTAATATATTTTATTTTAAAGGTACTGTACAGAGGGGTTACAGTTACATGAGCAAGGTAATGAGTCCATTTCCTATCCAGCATTTTTACTTCCTCCTTTGTTGTTCACTTACCATCCTATGGTAAAACCCCTGTTTTCACTGTATTTGATTCTGGTGCCCTGCATTTTGTATGTACATTTTTTTTTATAATTTTGGGAGGAGAAGGGAAATTACAAAATGTTTAAATAAGGATACAGATTGGTCCATTGTAACAATGAGATATACAAGACACTCGAAAACAAACTTTACAACTTTGGGGGGTGGGAGGAGTTGGGGACATGGGGAGGGACGGAAAAATAAAGGAGGAGGATACAATGCTGAATAGGAAATGTACTCACTATCTTTCTCATATAACTGTAATCCCTCTGTAGTAGTTTTACAATAAAAAATGAAAAAGAGAATTTGAGGAATGTGGACCATAGCTGCAGCCAATAAAAAAAAATGGAACTAGTTTGCTTCATTGCAATTACATATTATGCCATTCATATCAAAGTGATATTTAAATCATCAGGACACCTAATCCAGGGAAATAATATTTTATTCACATTCTTTTATATCCCAAAAAATAGATCCTATGTTTATTACAACTGTTTATTGTGCAAAAGGAAAACAAAAAGAAAAATATATGCGAATGATTTGGCAACATAGTTCTCCCATATATATACCTGTATAAAATCACAAGTGTGACCATACACATTCAAAGTTCTGCTGATTTCACTCAATTACCATGTGAAGTGTGAGGACTCTGCACATACATCTTTACACACACACACACACACACATATGTATATTCACATTATTTATTGTAAAAATACTGTACAGAGGGGTTACATTTACATGAATATGGTAATAAGTACATTTACTATTGAGCATTGTTGCCTCCTCCTTTGTTTTCCCCCTACCATCCTTCATTCCCCACCTCCCCAACTATTCTCCTCCCACTCCCTCCCTCAGCTGAAGTTGCAAAGCTCGTTTTCAAGATAGTGTCATTTTCAAGATATTGTCTTATACATCTCATTGTTACAATGGGTCAACCTGTATCCCTATTTAAGTATTTTGTTTTTTCCCTTCCCCTTCCCAAATTAAAAAAGTGCACAAATAAGTTACAGGGCACTGGAATCAAATATAGTGAAAATAGGAGTTACACCATGGGGGAGGAACATACCAAAGAAACAACAAAAAATCACATAGTTTATTATAAATACATTAAAAACAGCCATTATTTGCAATAACTAGTATAAGTCTAGGGCAAGCAGAAAAGGTCAGTAACTATGTACCTAAGACCATATAAGATCATGTTAAGCAAAATGAACCCCAAGACAGGGACACAAATGAAAATTCTTTCTTTTTTGTTGAAAAGAATGGCTCTGGGCTGAAGCCTGTGCAGAGGACTGAGGATAATTATTTAGAATAGATATTCCCTGGTGAGCACTGAAAGCCATGATAGTTAAGACTAACTCCAGGTAAGATAAACTGAGTTACTGGGCCACTCAGAGTGGAGTGTAAAAGTATTTATAGGTCTGGCATAGGCAAAAACCTGAAAAAGGAAATTAACGAAGAACTAAGCAAGAGGATAAACCTCCCATTCTTCTGGATTGGAAGGATTAACATCATGAAAACAGCAATTCTGCCAAAGGCTACCAACAAATTTAATGCAATACCTATCAATATCCCAACCTCACTTTTCAATTAAATAGAAGAAACAATCCAAAAACTCATATGAAACAATAAAAGACCCCAAATAGCAAAAACAATCCTTAGGAGAAATATCAGTGCTGGAAGTATATTATAAACTCCAAAGTTCATACTCTATTACAAAGCCATAGTAATGAAAAGAGCTTGGTACTGGCACAAGATCATACCTGAAAACCAATGGAATAGGACTAAAGACCCAGAAATGAACCCACAGACCAATAGCCACCTAATCTTTGACAAGGAAGCTAAAGAAATAGAATGAAAGAAAGACAACCTCTTCAGTAAATGCTGCTGGCAAAATTGGTTAATCACTAGTAAAAAACTAAAACTAGATCATTATATATCACCCTGCACCAGAATATACTCCAAATGAATCAAAGACCATGGAGTCAAAGCAGACACCCTGAAAACATT